CTCTGGTTTCATTTAAAAGAGTCGATCATCAGATATTGTCCAAGATTGACCTTCAGGGTGGATATAGCTCGCTAGCAGCCTCGCACCAAGGACCTATCAACGTCATCATTTACCCAGAATGCTTTGCGTGTAAATAAAATGGCTCTGTCTGTGTAATATATTTTTAAACTTTTAATTTAAATATTATAAAAACTGAACATCCTACAGTATGTTTACCGTCTTTATTTTACAGTTAAAATAAATGTTTATCAAATAAAGTCTAATGTAACAACTAATCGTGGATCCCTTTAATGTCAAAGCCCAGGTTTGACCAGAACAACTAGAACTCAGTAGGTGGTGGGTGATCCCTTTAAGGAGAACTAGGCCTTTAAAGTTTTCTGCTTTTTCCAATGACTTTATGAGCAAAACTCAGCTGAAGGTCCTGCTGGACCTGTCAGGACTGTGGAGCCTCTAGAACAACATCTTTGGACAAATTCTGCACAAAACAGAAAGAAACCTAAAACTGGACACCAGGTGGGACCTGTCCAGGTAGGATCCATGAGTCCACAATCCAGTTCTCTGTAATACTCCAAACATGTCAACATTTAAAAACACTGTTTTAGCTTCATTTAGAAAGTCTTTAGGATCTCATTTCTTTGCGGTGAACGAGTAAAAGGAAGTAGGGCTGTTTGATAAAAAGATTAGGAGAGAAGAACCTGAAGCGTTCGGATCTGAGGATCTGGTCTGGATGAGGTTAGTGCTCAGCTGGAGGACAGCGGCTCGTCTTCTGAACTTCTCAGGAAGCGTTAAAGCCTCCTGACGTCTGAGTCGGGGTCAGGGTTAATGACTGTGGGACAACAGAGCGTTTACGTCAGCTCTGCTTCCTGGACCGAACCACACAAACTGTTTCATTTGCAATAACGTCCCCAGTTTCTTTTTTTAAATTCTAATGAAATTCTTAACAAATCGACTCTCAGGTGCTTCTGTTCCACTGCCTCTTSAGCTCCATTACAAGTGTAATAAAAACAGGAAATGCTGGAGAAATAAGCCAACATCAAATATTTATATTAAACTATAATATAAAACACATCTAACAAAGCTGTGTTTCCATCCAGACAATGAGTCTGGAGTGCAGGGAGACCGTGGAGGTCCTGGTCCTGTCCACGCCGTCCTCACAGGTGGGTGTCCTCCTCGTCCAGGACGTCGTCCTTCATCAGGTTGTCGATGGGAACGATCCAGCTGTCGTTGAACTCGCCGTTGAGCGCCACCTTCTTCTCCTGCATCTCCGGCTGCGCCTCCATCACCTCCAGGGTGGGGTTGTCGTGGTAACAGTTCTCCACCGTGTGCAGCTCCTCCGTCAGGTACTGCTGGAGAGGGCAGAGTGTTTGCATGCATCAAGTTTTTTTTTTTTTT